AAGTGTGGAGTGTGAAGTGTGGAGTGTGAGGAGTGTGAGGTGTGAAGTGTTGAGTGTGAAGAGCAAATTGTGGAGTGTGAAGTGTGGTGTGTGAAGTGTGAAAGGTGAAGTGTGAAGTGTGGAGTGCAGAGTGTGGAGTGTGAAGTGTGGAGTGTGAAGTGCAGAGTGCAGAGTGGAGAGTGCGAAGTGTAAAGTGTGGAGTGTGAAGTGCGCAGTGTAGAGTAAAAATTGTGGAGTGTGAAGTGTGGAGTGTGAAGTGTGAACCGTGGAGAGTGTGGAGTGGAATGTGTGGAGTGTGAAGTGGAGAGTTTGCAGTGTGTAGTGTGGAGAGTAAGTTGTGGAGTGTGAAGTGTGGAGTGTAAAGAGCTAATGGTGAAGTGAGTGAAGTGTGGAGTGTGAAGTGTGGAGTGGTGTCAAGTGTGGAGCGTGAAGTGAAGTGAAGTGTGAAGTGTGAAGTGTGACGTGTGAAGTGTGGAGGGTGGAGGGTGAAGTGTGAAGTGTGAAGTGTGGAGTGTGGAGTGTGGAGTGTGGAGTGTGGAGTGCAGTGTAGTACTGGGAAGTACTTTGTGCAAACTTTGGGGCACAAAGAAGTACTGGGAAGTACTTTGTGCAAGCATTTTAATACAAAGTAGTATATACTGGGAACTACTCTGCGCAAGCTCTGTAGTATTATGAAGAATCGAGCCAGCTACACATTGGAAATCTTTAAAATATGTTGTCATGTTTTATCATTTTGATTATCATCGCGTTTATCATTTTTAAATATGTTTTAACATGTTCTTGATCATTCTCTTTTTCATTTTTCATTTTTTCATTGTTGTTTTCATTTTTTCTTTGTTTTTCATTTGTCTTTTTATTTGTTCATTTCTTTTCAGTTTTTATGTTTTATTTTATTTCTATTTTTCTGCAGTTTTCTTTTAGTTTAAAAGTTTTTCCCATTATTTTGCAGCCTTTTGTTTCATTTGATGTTTTACTTATCCCAGTTCTGCTGCGTGCATTGAAATTTTGTATTGATGTTTCTAATATGTACATATGCATGGCATTTCCCACCAAACCCACCAAACATTACCCACCAAACAATGGGGAATGAAAAATGAAGAAGTGATCACAGTTTGAAGACTACACTGAAAACAATGAAAACATGAAAAACATGAAAAATGAAAAAAATGAAAAACAGAAAAACATGAAAAAACAACTAGGTTGTTTTTTTGATTTTTTGGATTTTTCTGAATTTTCTCAAAAATTACTCCCAAAGCTCCTCATTTTGACCTCCCTGGGGCTCCTTCAGGCCTTCCCTAGCCCTAGCCCTAGTCTGGCCATGCTGCTCATTTTGACCTCTTTGGGGCTCCCTTCTGGCCTTCCGTAGTCTGGCCATGCCTGCCTCCAGGACCCAAAATGGAAAGCACATATCAAAGAGTGGAAGAACCAGCTTGGAGCCATTGGGTCTTGGTATCGTTTGCGAATAAAGGACAAATGATAAATCCAAACTGAGAAAAAAACGGAAAATGAAAAACATGAAAAAAAATAAAAACAATGAAAAATGAAAAACGAAAAAATGATTAACAACATCATGCCTGAAATAATAAAAACAAAAAAGATGAAACACATGATAAAAAATGATGAATGCAATGAAAACCAAAATGATAAAAAAAAATGAAAAAATGACCTGGCCCAGTCTGTGGCTGCAAGTTTTTCATAACAGTAGTACAAAGTAGTACTGGGAAGTGCCTTGTGCAAGCTTTGCACTACAAAGTGATACGGGAAGTGCCCTGTGCAAGCTTTGTAGTACAAAGTAGTACGGGGAAGTGCCTTGTGCAAACCTTGTAGTACAAAGTAGTACTGGGAAGTGCCTTGTGCAAGCTTTGTAGTACAAAGTAGTACTGGGGGGTACTTTGTGCAAGCACTGCAGTACAAAGTAGTACTGGTAAGTGCCTTGTGCAAGCTTTGTAGTACAAAGTAGTATTGGGAAGTACTTTGTGCAAGCACTGCCTTACAATGTAGTACTGGGAAGTTCCTTTTGCAAGCTTTGTAGTACAAAGTAGTACTGGGGGGCACTTTGTGCAAGCACTGCAGTACAAAGTAGTACTGGTAATTGCCTTGTGCAAGCTTTGTAGTACATAGTAGTATTGGGAAGTACTTTGTGCCAGCACTGCAGTACAAAGTAGTACTGTGAAGTGCCTTGTGCAAGCTGTGTAGTACAAAGAAGTACTGGGAAGTGCCTTGAGCAAGCTTTGTAGTACAAAGTAATACTGGGAAGTTCCTTGTTTAGTACAAAGTAGTACTGGGAGGTATTTTGTGCAAGCTTTGTAGTACAACAAGCTTTGTAGTACGAAGTAGTACTGGGAAGTACTTTGTGCAAGCATTGTAGTACAAAGAAGTACTGGGAAGTTCCTTGTGCAAGCTTTGTAGTACAACGTAGTACTGGGAAGTGCCTTGTGCAAGCTCAGGAGGACAAAGTAATGCTGGGAAGTGCCTTGTGCAAGCTTTGTAGTACAAAGTAGTACTGGGAAGTGCCTTGTGCAAGCTTTGTAGTACAAAGTAGTATTGGGAAGAATTTTGTGCAAACATTGCAGTACAAAGTAGTGATGGGAACTACTCTGCGCAAGCTCTGTAGCACAAAGTAATACTGTGAAGTGCCTTGTGCAAGCTTTGCAGTACAAAGTAGTACTGGGAGGTACTTTGTGCAAGATTCTTAGTACAAAGTAGTACGCTGAAATGCTTTTTGTGCAAGCTTTGAAGTACAAAGTAGTATTGGGAAGAACTTTGTGCAAGCATTGCAGTACAAAGTGGTACTGGAAAGCTCCTGGTGAAAGCTTAGTAGTACAAAGCAGTACTCAGAGTACTTTGTGCAAGCTTTGCAGTACTGGAAGGTATTTTGCGCAAGCTTTGCAGTACAAGTGTAAAGTGTGAAGTGTCAATTGTGCGGTGTGATGCGCGGAGTGAAGTGAAGTGTGGAGTGTGTAGTGTGAAGTGTGAAGTGCAGAGTGTGGAGTTGAGAGTGTGAAGTGTGAAGTGTGAAGTGTGAAGTGTGAAGTGTGGAGTGTGAAGTGCGGGGTGCGAGGTGTGAAGTGTGAAGTGTGAAGTGTGGAGTGTGAAGTGTAAGGTGTGGAGGGTGGAGTAGAGTATGCAGAGTGTGCAAAGTGTGAAATGGAGTGTGAAGTGCGGTGTGTGGAGTGTGAAGTGTGGAGTGGAGAGTTTAAAGTGTGAAGAGTGTAGTGTAGTGCCAGGTGTGCAGTGTGAAGTGTGAAGAGTGGAGTTTGAAGTGAAGTGTGATGTGTGGAGTGTGAAGTGTGGGGTATGGAGTGGAGCGTGCGAAGTGTGAAGTGTGCAGCGTGCAGTGTGAGGTGTGCAGAGTCAAGTGTGGAGTGGAAAACGTGAAGTGTGAAGTTTGCTGTGTGAAGTGAAGTGTGGAGTGTGATGTGGGAAGTGCGGAGTGTGAAGTGTGGAGTGTGAAGAGTGGAGTGTGAAGTGTGGAGTGGGGAGTGTGAAGTGTGAAGCGCAGAGTGTGGAGTGTGGAGTGGAGGGTGTGAAGTGTGATGTGGAAAGTGTGGAGTGTTGAGTGCAGAGTGTGAAGTGTGAAGTGTGAAGTGTGCAGTGGCGAGTGTGAGGTATGAAGTGTTGAGTATGAAGTGTGACGTGTAGAGTGTGGAGTGTGAAGTGTGAGGTGTGGAGTGGAGGGTGCAAAGTTTGAAATGGAGTGTGATGTGTCGAGTGTGGATTTTAAATTGTGGACTGTCGAGTGTGGGGTGTGAAGTGTGGAGTGTGACGAGAGTGTGAGGTGTGAGGTGTGGAGTGTGGAGAGTTTGAAGTGTGAAGTGTGTAGTGTCAGGCGTGCAGTGTGAAGCGTGGAGTGTGAAGTTTTGAAGCGTGAAGTGCAGTGTGAATTGTGAAGTGTGGAGTGTGAAGTGTCGAGTGTGAAGTGTGGAGTGTGAAGTGTGAAGTGTGGAGTGTGAGGAGAGTGTGAGGTGTGAAGTGTTGAGTCTGAAGTGTGCAGTGTAGAGTGTGGCGTGTGAAGTGTGAAGTGTGGAGTGTGGAGTGGAGAGTGGAGAGTGTGGTGTGAAGTGTGAAGGGTGGAGTGTGTGGAGTGTGGAGCGTGGAGTGTGAAGTGTGAAGTGTGGAGTGTGGAGAGTGGAGAGCATGAAGTGTGAAGTGTGAAGTGTGGAGTCGTGAGTGTGAAGTGAGGTGTGGGAAGTGTGGAATGGTGAAGTGTGCAGTGTGCAGTGTGGAGTGTTGAGTGTGAAGCGTGGAGTGTGGAGTGTGAAGTGTGGAGTGGGAAGTGTGGAGTGTTGAGTCTGATGTGTGGAGAATTAAGTGTGGAGTGCGGAGTCTGGAGTGCAAAGTAATACTGGGAAGTGCCTTGTGCAAGCTTGTAGTACAACGTAGTGCTTGGAAGTGGCGTGTGCAAGATTTGTAGTACAAGGTAGTACTGGGAATTTCCCTGTGCAAGATTTGCAGCAGAGAGTAGTACTGTGAGGTACTGTGTTGACGCTTTGTAGTACAAAGTAGTACTGCGAGGTGTTCTAGATTCTAGATGTGTCAAGCAAGAGTGTACAACAAGAGTGTCTTACAAGAGTGCTTCAGAGTATTGAGAGAGATTGTTTTACCAGAGTGTGCCACAAGAGTGTCGAGCAAGAGTGTCAAGCAAGAGTGTCTCACAAGAGTGTCCCATAAAAGTGTCCCACAAGAGTGCCCCACAAGAGTATGCCACAAGAGTGTCAGAAAAGACCCAAACAATTGTCCGAGAAGAATGGCAAGCGAGAGTGTTCTGCAAGAGTGGCTTTTACTGCGATCGAGCACCTCCTGTTCGCTTGTCATTGTTCTGTAGGAACCCTTCTTCTACGTGAGCTTTTACAAAATGCATTTGGGTTCGTGGTTTCTATCAGGTTTTTATCTCATGAACTTCCCATGTCCGATGATTTTGCCATTGAACATCTGCGTTGAAATTTCGGGCAGTTTGCCGGAATCGCTACGTTTTTCTCCCGCAGCGAAACGTCCGACGCCTTGGGCGTGGCTCCCCCGGAGATGGGCGCAGGCGACCAGCTCTTGGCGTGACTGATGGATGGCGGCCCGCAGGACCTGGGTCCCAAGCATCGCGATCGAGAAAAATGAAATATCAACGGGAATCTAGTGGGATATAAAAATGGAATATGAGTGGACTATTGGTGAAGAGCCTCTGGTAAATAAGTACACCAGCTATACATGGGACATTTTTCCATGTTTAAGAAGTAGATCATCTATCATTATAAAAAGGTTCAGCTAGCTCCATTTTGACGCATAGCAAGTCGAAATTTGTCAGAAACATGAAATGTTTGAAAGTGTAAGAATTCCAACCCGAATCTTCTCTTTCAAAACAACGGCCAAATTTGGCTAAAATGAACTCAACCCGAGTTTTTATAGACTCAAACCATGTCTCCCTTTCAAAGGATAGAGGTGAAGTCATGTAATCCCTCGCCAGTCCGAGGAAAACATAACCTCCCTCGGTACCCCCCAGGGCCTCGCCAAACCGAAGCTCTCCCAGGCCCAGGTACCCAATTAAATCAAAATCCACGAAAAAAGAGGCGCAAAATCACTCTCTCCAAGGTCGAAGAGAGACCCTCCCAGGGTGGGAGGGCCGGGTGCTGAGCCAAAAACTTCGGTCAAACATCACCTGGTAACCCCGGAGGACAGGTATACAAAGGTTCAGCTGGCTCCATTTTGACGCAAAATTTGTCAGAAAAGTGAAATGTTTGAAAGAGTAAGAATTCCAACCCAAATCTTCTCTTTCAAAACAACGGCCAAATTTGGCTAAAATGAACTCAACCCGAGTTTTTATAGACTCAAACCATGAGCCTTGTCTCCCTTTCAAAGGATAGAGGTGAAGTCATGTAATCCCTCGCCAGTCCGAGGGAAAAAAACCTCCCTCGGTACCCCCCAGGGCCTCGCCAAACCGAAGCTCTCCCAGGCCCAGGTATCAATTCAATCAAAATCCACGAAAAAAAAGAGGCACAAAATCACTCTCTCCACGTCCCCCTGCCCTGCTGAAAGCTGCTCAAGATTTTGGACACTAGCGGACAGAGTTACGGTAAGTTGCGACAAATGGCTTCAGCCTTGAGGTTGGCACATTCATCTCAGCCAAGATAGCCAGACCCTCATTTATATAAACCTTGGCCGTTTTTTGGGCGGCCCATTGCCCTTGTACCATAAGTTTATCTAAGGATCCGTGGTGACGAAACCAATGGGTAGCCCCGCCCCGCCTAAGCGAGTAGGGTCTGAACCCAAAACTATCTAGCTTGAGCGCAGTTAAAGTTCCAGAAAGCATCGCTCGCCACTTGTGGGGAGCAGGACACAAGGGGGAATTTGGTTTACACCTTCTCTTCCATTTCCACAGGAGTTTCAAAACTCCTTCAACACCCAGGGTGGCACTCTCAAGTGCTCCTTGCCTTTTACCGCCCTTTGTCAGCCCAAGAGAGATGACAGCGACCTGGGAAGGTGCGTTCATTGAAAATTGAAGGCAGCCCCAGAAGTTCGCCTGTTCGGAGCATAGAATAAAACCAAATCAGAAGCCTCAAACTGAATTCACGTTGGTCATTCAGCAGAGCGTGGCCTGCCATAGCCAGAAGCACTCCCTCTGGGAGGGGCGGAGCCCTGTTTGCGATTTCGGTTGAGCTCCATATTTTCAGGAGTCTCCAACTTGATGGAAGGCAGCCTCGAATTTTGGGATTTTTGTCTTGCAGACCAGCAACCGTGTCATTCGCCTTTGATCGCCCTTCTCCAGTTGCCCACAGGTGTTCAATAAATTCTGACACCAAAGGGTCAAGATCCTGAATCTTCCGGGGCAAGACAAGTTGGTTAGTACGGAGGAAGGCATAAAATTGCTCCCGAGTAGCTTCATAACGGACTTTGGTGCGTGTCTGAACAGTCAATGTTTGCAAAGGACCAAGTTTTTTACGAACAGCTATCCTCTCTTGTTTCGTGCGACCTTCAAGGTGTCGGCGCCCTACTTTCCCCATCATTTCTTGACCTTGCGCCGACTCGGCCGATCGGCCGGATTGTCGGCGGTGTTCACGTAAGCCCATACCGGATGAAGGTTGCACGCCAAGAGGTACTTAGATGAACCCTGGGCTTGCTAGTAGGTTAGCCTAGTTAAGATAGTTGGCAAGCCATTAGTAAAGGTATGCTAAAGGCATGCTAAGACTATGCTAAAACTATGCTAGGATCTTGTAAGAGTTTAGCAGTTTTACAGTACTTAGCTAAACATTGTAAAAGTTAGCTAAAGTTCGCTAATTAACATAAAACATGTAACTAGTTAGGTCAAAAGTTAGACGGGTTAGCTACAAGTTAGCTAAACATTAAGTTGTGTTCTTCATAGGTAGGAAACTTTTTTTAAAGGAGCATGGAAAAAATCGAACAGGCCTCAATGATCAATTGTGAAGGGCATTGTTTTTCCTATCATTTCTTAGTCAGGTTTTTATTTTTTTGTCCTTGAACCATTCTAGTTTGGGCAATGATGGCTTTTAATTTTGCAAGCACCAAACATATTTCTACAAGAAAGACAAATATTCCTTTTTTGTGGTGTCCTAAACTGAAAAATATATGTTGGCATTTTTTAAAAAAGGGTCTTGTAGACAAATGCAATCATATATATATATATATATGGAAACTTCAACCGTATGCTGGTTGATTCTGCTTATTGTGCGCATTGCTATGCACATTTCCGACACCAATGTCACAATGGAAAGATGGGCATGCAATGAAAGATACATATATTTTGTTGGTTGTGCTACAAGTGGCCTGCCATTGGTGATTCCTTTGGTGGTTCTTTCTATTTCAGTAGCAGTGCTTGATGAATATACAATTTTGGCAACTTTGCATCCAAGCAGCCCTGGAGCATTTTGGGACCAGCCCTTTTTTGGCTTTTTTGACCAAGCTAATGCTGACTTGTCTTGGGTCAAGCAACTTGCTGCTTGTGGCACTGTAAGCCCAATGTGGCTGTTTTTTGCATCCTGTGCAAGCCAATTGTGGCTGGTGGTGGTGCAAGCCTTGTGGCTGAAGTCTTTTTTCAAGCATGTTATTGCTACAGGCTATTGGCAATATCAAGCCCAAAGTGGCTCATTTTTGGTATAGCATCGATGATTCTTTAGTATAGACTGGTTCCCAGCATTCAAGACATACATGGGTAAAAAGCCAACAGAAACAGTTACATATAGCAATGTCAAACACATTTCACACAATGGAATGACGGCATGTTACTTGCAGCTCTATTTCTGTTTAACCAACCAAGCTGCTTTTGAAGCAATGCCTGCATTGCCCACTGACACAATTGAAGCTTTGGACAAAGTGATCAATGATCAGCACTTGCCAGTGCTGGTGAAGGTCAGCAAACTGTTCAAATCCATTGCTGACCATGGCTTGGGCTACTACCAGAAAATAATGCCCAAAGATACATTGACTCACCCTGCAAACCGTGGTGGGTCATTGTTGAACAGCAGTGACGTTTGGTCAAAGGGGCTGAGGATGTTGCAGATTGGTGTTCAACCTGCAATGTTGCAATCTGGCGCAGTGTGCTTTGAACTCAGCAATGACAAAGATAAAAGAGAAAGGCAAATTGCAGCCAATGTGGCTCTTGTGGAAGGCAGGAACAAGTCATTGGCGCCTGTGAATGGACAAGAAAGATTTTTAACTGTTGCCACATCCCACACTGCTGCTTTCTGCAAATCAGTGGAGCAAGGATGCAAGCCAGAGCCGAATGCCCCTGCTATTGACACAAAAGGCGACAGTGGATTGCTTGAATTGTGTTCCCGGGGCTGGCCCTATTTTGTCCTGAAAGCTGAAGTGGAAGAACAATGGCCCACTTTGCCGGTTTCAAGCAGGTGAATGAAATTGAAGCAGCCAGTCTCATGGCCACCTTTATTGGCCACAACTTGTCTGTGAATGATGCACTGCAGCGTGTGCAGCAAGCCGATCCAATTTGCAAAGGCAGCTTGGAGACAATTGCCTACTATGTGAGTAGGTATGGAGGTGGCCAAGGACAAGCTTTGATACTGTTTCTCAGCCAGTTCAGTGCCTTGCATAGCATTTGCCAACATTTTTACAATTATTGTGTATTCAGCTTTTGCATATAGTTTGAAATGTGTTTCCCTTTGATTGAAAGTTCCAATTCAGCACTTGTGTGTGTTTTCGAGGTCAAAGCTATGGCTCACTGCTTTTGGGAAGTGACTTGATGAGGGCCTTGACCTGTTTGGACTTAAAAAGCACTGCCACAGTGTATCCATTCTTGCGCACTGCTTTGTTCCTTGGTAACAGCATGTTTTGCTTTTTTCATGTCAATGCAATCAATCACCTTATATCACATTATGTTTGTTTTTGCAGGTGGGCTACAATGATGTGATGTCCACTGACAAAGAGCAAGATGGCTATTCGAAGATTTTGATCAGGTCAGATTGTGAGAGATTGAGAGCCCAGCAGAAAAGGCAGGATGTGGACCAGTGTGAGCAATTTGGCCAAGTATTATTGTTTGATTATTTTTAGTGCCAATCTTTCAAACTTCTTGTTGCTGGCTACCAATGCCAAATCTTTGTAAGGCAATTGCTCCATGACAGTTGGAAGCTCTACATTGCTTCTACCTCCAAGGAGAATGTCAAAGTGTCTTGCTATGGTAGGCTTTGTGTGCGAAGCATATTGCATTTCACAGGGAAAGAGAAAATGGGCAAAAAGCCTAAAGGTTTTGAGAACTTGGATGCCATTGCCAAGCTTTTCATTGAAGAGATGGACAAAGGCAAGGACAACACTTTGGCTGCTTTCTCTACTGCAGCTTCGAATGATGATGGCTTGAAGGTGGAGAATTTAGTGGGAGCATCCCCAGCACAAGTGGCGCTTTTGCAAAATGAGCACATGAAGATTGGCCAATTGTCACTTGTTTGGAAAAGATCATATACCACCAATGTTTTATCAGAATCCAAGTATGTTTTTAAGATGTTTCCGCGGTTCTTGAACAACTGTTCCCCTGTTTGGTGCCCAGGTATTCGAACCAGAAGCAGCATGGCAACAAAGTTTTCAAGCTGATTTCTGTGACTGAAGCAGGTTGGGCAATGGAGCATCAACCCTTTTTCGATCCAATTGAGAAGGTCACAGTGGAACTTCCTGACTTGAAAGGTTGGAAGGTGCACAAAGGCACTGAGCCTCAAATGCGCACTGATGAGCAATGCTCGCAATGGATAGCTCATCATTCTCCCATGTTGCAGGAGGAAATGCTCAAGGCTGCTGTGCAACATAAGCTTCTACAACTGTGCTCAGGCAATGGTGTGGAAAATGGTGCCTTGACTTTCACAATTGGCCCAAGTGGAGTCTGGAGCAAAAAGAGTTTCAAAAAGGGACAATTGAAATTGTTCCCTGCAGGCACAATTTCAAAAATGAAGGATGCTTCCAAGCATAAGGCGAAGGCTGTGGTATCGTCCTCTGGTTTTCAATTTGCAGTGAACCCTTTCAAGTCCAACACTGAATTTGAAGATGGGAAAGGCGTCTTGGACGCATTTTATTGGATTAAGGCGACTGAAGACCTTGATGCAGTGAACATGGTGCTGAAAGAGCATACTGAAGACAATGTGACTGCACCTTTCCTGACCAGCACGAAAGCGTGGTGAACAATTGCTTCAAATCAGCTCCAAAGCTGAAACTGCCGATGGTCAAGGTGCCCCTGCTTTGAAAAAGGCAAAGAAATGAGCTCTTGGCTGAGCCTGTAATAGAATTTTCCGCCAACGTGAAACACTTGGTTCTGCAATGTCATCTGCAAAAGCAGCTCTCCCGGTAGTTGCAAGCTTTTATATACAGCTGCTCAAGCTTTCAAGCTTTTGGAGCTTCATTGCAGCATTGCGCCAAGACTGAATATGTCTGATGAATCTTTGCAGCAAGCCCTGTGGCTTTTAAATGTTTTTTTGTTCTGATGTGGGCAAGAACAACAATTTTTGACAGGTGCTTTGGCACCAGGACTGAAAAGCTTCTGAATCGTAGAGCCATGGCAGTGAAGTTCAGGCAGGCACTGGAACTCAAGTGGGAAGACGATGAGTGGCACTCCATTCCTTCATCATTGTTGGCCAACCATGGAGGCAAGCAATACCTCAAGATCAGACTTACGCACCATGCAATTGTTGCACTGCTGACTTCCAAGAAGTGTGACAAGAATGCTTCCTTTGCCAGCAGTGAAGCACTTGGCAAATTGATGCAAGCTAGAAATGATGCTGCTCTGGTATTGCAATTCAAGAGTCATTGAGCTTTGCATACTTTGCCAAGCAGTCTTATCCAAGGGGCAAACCGGCTGGATTGACTCAATATTGGAAGGAGACTTTGTAAAGTTCAACAATTCACTTGTTGAACTTTACAAAGTCACATTAAAAGATTGAGTCAATCAGAACATCAAATGTCAAAAACACCAGTGAGTCACTTTTGCATACTGTTCTTCTCCAAGGCTCATTCTTGGATTTCGGATGCATTCCTTATGTCACTGGACACCTGCAAGTGCCAATGCCAGCACACCCAGAGGGCATCAGAAGATAGGCACTTCCTATCTTTTGGTGCTCTTTGGCTGTTGCATGGCATGTCCCAAAGGCTTGATGACTCGACAAATGCTCCAAGGATCAGTCATGCCACAATTCTAAAACGCAATGCCATTGCTGCTAGACATGAAGGTGGTGGAAGACTGGGTGGCCACCTGGTGCTTCTTGCAAAAAAAGCCAAAGAAACGGTTTAGAGACCACACTGCGCATGTGTGTTTCACTATATAGCAAGTCGCTTGCAGCAAATTCAGATCAGCCAGGTACAGGCTTGAAGAAACATTGCTAAAAGCCATGAAAACTTGGAAACACTGTAACACAAGGCTTGCAATCATCCAGCCATGAAGGCTTGCATTGGTATACACTCCCATTGAAAGCTTGCAAACATTTTTTCTTGGCACAATGCTTCCTTGTCATCACTTTAGTGGCCCTGCATTCCTGCACACTTCCATGATGAAGTGTAATGGCTTCCTTGTGTACTGGCAAGCAAAGAGATTGGCCTATGCAAGCACAGCTTGCAGTACATTGCCAAAAACCTGAGTTCAAGATGCACTTGGTGGAATAAAATCTTGCTGCTGCGAGTGAATGATGTAATTTCATGTCAAGCCCTTAGTGGCTGAAGCTGTTCAATTCTTCAAGGGCTATATAATGCTTCAAGCCTTGATGGCTACACAGCATTATAGTGCATACCCCCGTGATAGAAGATATTCAGCTACCATTTTTGTACCCCATCTTCTATGTTTCTTGTTTTCGGAAAGGCGTTTTGGAAGAATCACATAGAAGATACTATGTCAAGATAGGGCCAAAACCAGGGTCGAGAAGGATTTTGGAGCCCGCTTGGAGGACCTTGCTGCGGATCCATTTTTTGATCTTCTATCTTTCCGGTAATTTTTGACCCCCATCTTCTATCTTTCTTTGATCTTCTATCTTTCCGGTCCGGGGCGTTATCTCAAGCCAAGACAAAATGGAAAATGTCAGTTTCATGGCTTTTTGCTGCTGCTGCCGCTGCTGCTGCCGCTGCTGCTGCCGCCGCTGCTGCTGCTGCCGCCGCAGCTGCTGCTGGCCTGCTGGCCTGCTGGCCTGCTGGCCTGCTGCTGGGCTGCTGGGCTGCTGCTGCTGGCCTCCTGCCTGCTGCTGCTGGCCTGCTGGCCTGCTGCTGCTGGCCTACTGGCCTGCTCCTGCTGCTGCTGGCCTGCTCCTGCTGCTGCTGCTGCTGGTCTCCTGCTGGTCTCCTGCTGGTCTCCTGCTGCTGCTGCTGGTCTCCTGCTGCTGCTAACCTACTGCTGCTGGCGTGCTGCTGTTGCTGCTGCTGCTGGCCTGCTGGCCTGCTGGCCTGCTGCTGCTGGCCTACTGGCCTGCTGCTGCTGGCCTCCTGCCTGCTCCTGCTGCTGCTGGCCTCCTGCCTGCTGCTGCTGCTGGCCTGCTCCTGCTCCTGCTGCTGCTGCTGCTGCCTGCTGCTGCTTGCTGCTTGCTGCTTGCTGCTTGCTGCTTGCTGCTTGCTGCCTGCTGCCTGCTGCCTGCTGCCTGCTGCCTGCTGCCTGCTGCCTGCTGCCTGCTGCCTGCTGCCTGCTGCCTGCTGCCTGCTGCCTGCTGGCTGCTGCCTGCTGGCTGCTGCCTGCTGCCTGCTGGCTGCTGGCTGCTGGCTGCTGCCTGCTGCCTGCTGGCTGCTGGCTGCTGGCTGCTGGCTGCTGGCTGCTGGCTGCTGGCTGCTGGCTGCTGGCTGCTGGCTGCTGGCTGCTGGCTGCTTGCTGCTGGCTGCTGGCTGCTTGCTGCTTGCTGCTTGCTGCTTGCTGCTTGCTGCTTGCTGCTTGCTGCTTGCTGCTTGCTGCTTGCTGCTTGCTGCTTGCTGCTGGCTGCTTGCTGCTGGCTGCTGGCTGCTTGCTGCTGGCTGCTTGCTGCTTGCTGCTTGCTGCTTGCTGCTTGCTGCTTGCTGCTGGCTGCTTGCTGCTTGCTGCTTGCTGCTTGCTGCTTGCTGCTTGCTGCTTGCTGCTTGCTGCTTGCTGCTTGCTGCTTGCTGCTTGCTGCTTGCTGCTTGCTGCCTGCTGCTTGCTGCCTGCTGCTGCTGCCTGCTGCCTGCTGCTGCTGCTTGGCTGCTGCTTGCTGCCTGCTGCTTGCTGCTTGCTGCTTGCTGCTTGCTGCTTGCTGCTTGCTGCCTGCTGCTGCTGCTTGCTGCCTGCTCCTGCTGCCGCTGCCGCTGCCGCTGCCGCTGCGGCTGCGGCTGCGGCTGCTGCGGCTGCTGCTGCTGCTGCTGCTGCTGCTGGCCTGCTGCTGCTAACCTACTGCTGCTGGCGTGCTGCTGTTGCTGCTGCTGCTGCTGGCCTGCTGCTGCTGGCCCCATGCTTTGAGCTGCCCAAGTATGTTGAACCCAATGTTGTTCCAAGAGCCCGAGTGATTGGAATCCACACTGCAGCACCCCCAAGACTGAACTTACGCATATCTGGGTATTTCTCAAAATGGGCGATGCTCGAAAATAGTTTATAAAATCCCTTCAAAGGTTGTTTCGAGCATCCCCCATAAAGAGAAACACCCATATATATAATTATATATATATATATATTTAAATATAGAAAATGAATTTGAACCCATGTTCCACTTAAAACCCTTTGCCTGCTGCTGCTGGCCTGCTGCTGCTGCTGCCGCTGCCGCTGCTGCTGCTGATACCAAATAGCCCTGAAACTGACATTTTCCATTTTGTCTTGGCTGCAGATAACGCCCCAGACCAGAAACATAGAAGATATTTCTTAATTCTTCGTTGCAATGATGTTTGCCAAAAACCAAGGTGTCAAAAAACCAACCAAATAGAGGATAGTCTTTAATTCTTTGTTGCGGTGATGTTCGTCAAAAACCAAGGTTTCAAAAAACAAACCAAATAGAAGAACTTGGTGCTGCTGCTGCTGCTGCTGCTGCTGCTGCTGCTGGCCTGCTGCTGCTGCTGCTTGCTGCTGCTGCTGCTGCTGGCCTGCTGCTGCTGCTGGCCTGCTGCTGCTGGCCTGCTGCTGCTGGCCTGCTGCTGCTGGCCTGCTCCTGCTGGCCTGCTCCTGCTCCTGCTGCTGCTGCTGCTGCCGCTGCCGCTGCTGCCGCTTCTGCTGATACCAAATAGCCCTGAAACTGACATTTTCCATTTTGTCTTGGCTGCAGATAACGCCCCAGACCAGAAACATAGAAAAAACATTGGAATTCTTCGTTGCAGTGATGTTTGTCAAAAACCAAGGTGTCAAAAAATCAACCAAATAGAAGATAGTCTTTAATTCTTTGTTGCGGTGATGTTCGTCAAAAACCAAGGTTTCAAAAAACAAAACAAATCGAATATATTCTTGGTTGTGGTGATGTTCCTCGTAAGCCAATGTTTCAAAAAACAAACCAAATAGAAGATCTTGGTGCTGCTGCTGCTGCTGGCCTGCTGCTGCTGGCCTGCTGCTGCTGGCCCCATGCTTGAGCTGCCCAAGTATGTTGAACCCAATGTTGTTCCAAGAGCCCGAGTGATTGGAATCCACACTGCAGCACCCCCAAGACTGAACTTACGCATATCTGGGTATTTCTCAAAATGGGCGATGCTCGAAAATAGTTTATAAAATCCCTTCAAAGGTTGTTTCGAGCATCCCCCATAAAGGGAAACACCCATATATATAATTATATATATATATTTAAATATAGAAAATGAATTTGAACCCATGTTCCACTTAAAACCCTTTGCCTGCTGCTGCTGGCCTGCTGCTGCTGCCGCTGCCGCTGCTGCTGCCGCTGCCGCTGCTGCTGCTGATACCAAATAGCCCTGAAACTGACATTTTCCATTTTGTCTTGGCTGCAGATAACGCCCCAGACCAGAAACATAAAAGATATTTCTTAATTCTTCGTTGCAATGATGTTTGTCAAAAACCAAGGTGTCAAAAAACCAACCAAATAGAAGATATTCTTTAATTCTTTGTTGCGGTGATGTTCGTCAAAAACCAAGGTTTCAAAAAACAAACCAAATAGAATATATTCTTTGTTGTGGTGATGTTCCTCAAAAACCAGTGTTTCAGAAAACGAACCAAATAGAAAATCTTGGTGCCGTTGAGGTCCGGCAGTGCCCACTGGGATCTGGAGCTCGCGGT